CACCAACACAGATCAGAGAATCAACAGTTAAAACACATGAAAAATATAAAGCACAAAAAAAAAAAAAATGTCCATACATGTTGTAGAATGTTAAAGTGTCCTGGATCATCACCACAGTCCTTCTTGTTGGACACTAACTGTCCAACAAGACCCTCCTGCATCGGCAAGGAAAAACTCATAAGAAAACTCAGTGGGAAAAAGTGAGAAACCTTGGGGAGACCCAGTTGAGAAAGGGATCCGCTCCTCCGTCAGAGGACTTAACAAAACCGTTGAATTTGCCAACACAGGTCAGAGATTCAAACAGTTCAAACACACAAAATGCAATGATAGAAAACACATTGGTATTGGTCCATAAAGGGCAGAGACCAATGTCCATAAAGGTTGATAAATGTTGAGTGTCCTGGATCATCACCACTGTCCTTATGTTATAATAATAATAATAATGCATTGGTTTTATATAGCGCTTTTTTGGACAACCAAAGATGCTTTACATGTCATTTTTCTTTCACTCCAAACACGGTGGTGATGAAATACTACTGTAGCCACAGCTGCCCTGGGGCACACTGACAGAAGCGAGGCAACCAGTATGTGCCATCGGCCCCTCCGACCACCACCAACCATTCACACACACCAGACTCATTCTAGGCAATGGGGGTTAAGTGTCTTGCCAAGGACACAACGACAGCAGACATCAGTGGGAGTCGGTGGAGAAAGTCTTGTGGTGGACTCAAACCCACAACCTTCAGGCTCAAAGGCCAATGCTCTACCAACTGAGCCACTGTTGCTATTATTCTAATCTATGTTATAAATATTGAATAACAAAAATCCAAAAATGTATCAAAGATTTGGGCCCAATTTAAGTAACACAACCTAAGTTATCAAAGGAAAACCCAAAAAGAAAGCATGCAAGGAGTAGGAGTAACCCAAGTTAACATCAAAGGGGAAATGCTAAACTGAAATACAAGTGTGGTTTAATAATAAATACTGAGACTGTGGAGTGGTGGCAGAAGAATCCAACACACTGCACATGGTCAAGATGGTGCCTTATAGGCCATGTGCTAGATGCTATAAAATTAACTTTCGTTCCAGCGTCATGGGGAATACTTTTTTTTAACATTTTCGGAAAGCTTATAACAATATGAACACAATCTGAAGTTTCCACACAAAGAATCCTTGTCGTATTTTTGCTAGGGCCAACTGAAATTTGAACTTTTTATCATGTAAAGTGGTATATAAATTGCCATCGACCCAGTTTCAACCAATCAGAGCGCCAAATTTCTTGGTCATGACGTCAGTGAGTGGGTGTGTTTGTCAACAAAGATGGCAGCCCACTGTTGTAAGAGGAAACCAGGGTTTCCTCCGGGTGCTCCGGTGTCCTCCGGGTGCTCTGGTTTTCTCCGGGTGCTCCGGTTTCCCGTACTACTAAAAACATGTACAATAGGTCTGGCATGTGATGGGAGCGAGCTGTAGGTGACCTCACTCCCATCTCTGTGTGGAGTGAGAGACAAATGCCCAGAAATAACAATTGTAAAGCTCTTTATGACTCTGGTCTGTGAAATACGGTACATACATAACAATCACTTTCTTACTTAAATGATCGGCAGAGGGTGAGGGTTTTCATAATCATCATTTATCAATCAATGGATGCAACATGATGTGCGATCAACAATGACTGACTGCAGGGCATGGGTATGGCAGCGTCAGCATGGTCAGCATGGTCAGTATGGTCAGCATGGACGTGGCATCGTCAGTATGGTCAGCATGGGCGTGGCATGGTCAGTATGGTCAGTATGGTCAGCATGGTCAGCATGGTCAGTATGGTCAGTATGGTCAGCATGGGCGTGGCATGGTCAGTATGGTCAGTATGGTCAGTATGGTCAGCATGGGCGTGGCATGGTCAGTATGGTCAGCATGGGCGTGGCATGGTCAGTATGGTCAGCATGGGCGTGGCATGGTCAGTATGGTCAGTATGGTCAGCATGGGCGTGGCATGGTCAGTATGGTCAGTATGGTCAGCATGGGCGTGGCATGGCCAGTATGGTCAGTATGGTCAACATGGGTGTGGCATGGTCAGTATGGTCAACATGGTCAACATGGCCATTATGGTCAGCATGGTCAGCATGGGCGTGGCATGGTCAGCATGGGCGTAGCATGGTCAGTCAGTCAATGATTATTGACTGACTGACCTACTTATGGTGATGTATAATTGGGCATAATAGTCTTTAATGTATAGACATTGTTGTCATCAGTGGCAGAGCCAGATACTTATTGAGGTGTTTGCACAGGTACCTTCTACTTGGTCTTGCTGGTGTTAGCACAGATACAATCTCCTTGGTCTTACTGGTGTTAGCATAGGTACCATCTCCTTGATCTTACTGGTGTTAGCACAGGTAACATCTCTTTGGTCTTACTGGTGTTCAAGCACAGGTACCATCTCCTTGGTCTTACTTACAAGTGGTTGCGCTCACACAAGTTGACATGATAACCAACCGATATTCCAGCTGGTTCTCCTCAGACACATGAATGAACTGGAATAGCAGTAGCAGCAGTTCTACCAACAACTACAGAGGAATGTGATAAGATTTTAAATCCCGGTAGGATGATCAAGCAGGCAGTTTATAAACAGATTTGAACATTAAGAAATATAGATAGAGAAATGCTATAAACGGGGGGCACGGTGGCTGAGTGGATAGCACTCTCGCCTCTCAGCAAGAAGGTCCTGGGTTCGAATCCCGGTCGGACCAGGGCCTTTCTGAGTGGAGTTTGCATGTTCTCCCCGTGTCTGCGTAGGTTTCCTCCGGGTACTCCGGTTTCCCCTACCACTAAAAATATGTCCAATAGTTCTGGCATGCGCTTCCTGTACTGGCAACCCTGCTCCCATCTCTGTGTGGAGTGAGAGACAAATGCCCAAAATTAACAATTGTAAACCGCTTTGAGACTCAGATCTGCAGTGAAAAGGCGGTATATAAATAAAAACTTACTTACTACTATAAACGTGGGCGTAAATAGGTTCCAGTAGTGTACTGGACCCCCATCGCCATGGGGAAGCTATAAAATACTAGCTAGAATATATCCCGGCCTTTCTGAGTGGAGTTTGCATGTTCTCCCCGTGTCTGCGTAGGTTTCCTCCGGGTACTCCAGTTTCCCCTACCACTAAAAATATGTCCAATAGTTCTAGCATGCGCCTCCTGTACTGGCGACCCCGCTCCCATCTCTGTGTGGAGTGAGAGACAAATGCCCAAAAATAACAATTGTAAACCGCTTTGAGACTCAGATCTGCAGTGAAAAGGCGGTATATAAATAAAGATTAAAAAAATAAATAAATAAATAACAAAAAAAAATACTTTGTCTGTGGCGTAGCCTAGCAACCATATTTCCATCCAACATTGTGCCTTAGGCCTACCTCGTGAGAAATCCAAAAAACGAAATAAAAAATAATTGTGTCAATCTATGTACCTTTGCTTGATTTGAACAACATTTAAACAATAATTAGCCAAAACCTTATTTTGCAGGCGCACCCCTCAAAAAGTTTCTGGCTCTGCCTCTGATGACAACAATGTCTATACATTAATGATTATTGTGCCCAATTACACATTATAATAATAATCATAATCATGGACTGACTGAATATGCCACGACCCATGCTGACCATGCCACGCCCATGCTGACCTTGCCATGTCCATGCTGACCATGCTGACCACGCCACACTCATGCTGACCACGCCACGCCCATGATGACCATGCTGACCTTGCCATGTCCATGCTGACCATGCTGACCACGCCACACTCATGCTGACCACGCCACGCCCATGCTGACCATGCTGACCACGCCACACTCATGCTGACCACGCCACGCCCATGATGACCATGCTGACCACGCCACGCCCATGATGACCATGCTGAACATGCCACGCCCATCCTGACCATGCTGACCATGCCACACTCATGCTGACCACACCACGCCCATCCTGACCATGCTGACCATGCTGAGCATCATCTTTGAGGTATTTGAAGGAAAATCAACAATCATTAGACATAAAATCAGTTTATGGTAGTTTTTCCAGTTTAGTGCCCAAATTGGAATGTTACCGTTTTTCATACTCATTTTGGATGTTCAAATATTTCTTCCATAATAGTAATATTCCAGGAAAACATCATTTTTGGTGTGATCTCTTTGGCCAAGTAATTTGTTTTTTTTATGAAATAAGTAGTTCTGCAATTAGAAACCTCCAAACATGGTACATCAGGCTAAAATGTCCAATTTTCAATTAAAACCACAACTTTGACATTTTTTTCCGACAGGGATTCTGTTTGTGGAGCTTTTTCATGGCTAATTGTAACTATTTAGCATTAACATAAAGCAAAAAGAGAGTATTTCCCACAATCCTGGAACGGAATTCAATTTCTAGAGCCCTTTCATGAACTAGCACATGGCCTATTACTTTCAATCCAGTGGTAAGTAAGTATCTTTATCCATATAGTGCCTTTCACAGAATGGAGAATGGAGTCACAAAGCGCTTCGCAGTTGCTGTGGGCATTCGTCACTCACTCCATACATGG